TGCATGTATGCATGGCTCTTGTAGAAGACAGTATAGTATTTATGTGAGAAAGCAGATTTTGCAGTCAGATTCACTGAAGCTGGAAGCTTTAACTGTGTGAGGGCCTGCTGGCTTTGGCCTCAGGCTTTCATATTTCAGATACAGAGAATTTTATTTTTATTTTTTTTTTTACATTCATAGAGTCCACTTGCATTTTCCCATTTTTATATATACATATATATTATATGTAAAAATATGAGAATACCAGTTACTAGGTTCCTAGCACAGGGCAAGGCAGTAAATTGATTCCCCTGTGGGAATGTTGGTGAATACTTGCTTCTGTGCATCCTCACCAGGAATCAGACTAAAGTCAGGCATGTCCTTTTGCCACTTTTTTCAGACTCCTATCTGCCAAATGTGTTAATTGTGTTCTACCTGTTACTGTGTTATTATTTACTGTGTGTATTGTGAAGATTTCATTCTTCAAGGATGTGAGGTCATGATGTGCAGTAGACAAAAAAAAATACATTCGAGTGGCAGGCAGGAGCAAGCAGGGTTCCTTTTGCTTCCTCAGTAATATCCTTTTTCACCATAGTTGGTAGGAACCTTATTCCAAAGCTGCACACTGAGAACTGCCATCAAATATATGGTGGTCCTTATAGAAAAATGTTTTCTTGTCTTTCATGGGTCTGGTTTTCTCCACTGGCAACTGTGTTGTGTTGCTGCAACAAAGACAAGGCATCTGTATCATTTATGTCATGAGGGAGAGAAGCCAGATCAAAGCTGGGTTTTATTTTGCAGCTTGTCTTACCTATTCTGTGGTAAAAACCAGGGGTGTGCTTGCATTGGAATTATATCAGGGGATAACTAAAACACAATAACTGCCTGTAATTTTTCCTGGCAGTAAAGCCAAAGGGAAAGTTAAAAGGTGATTATTTTGAGCTCCTGCCTTGCTTGTAGCTCACTGGGCATTACATATACCAGAGTTATACAGGGCTGAGAGCACTGCTTAAAGCTCTGCAGTTTTATTTTTTTTTTAATATATATTTTTTATATTTTTTTGAGCCTCACATCTCTTCGCAAAAATTTGGGTCTTTCACCTTGGCATCTTGTCTGTCCATTCCATTAACACTCATCCTCTTCCCTGTCTCCACATCCAAGCCATGGAACTTGTCTTTTTCCCACTCCAAGTTGTCAGCCCTTCCAGCAACTTTTGCTAGTTAAATGCTTTTTCCCTTTGGCTGTTACATTTTCATTATTGGTTTTGCATGGGAGTCATCTGGGCTTATACATTGAATAACCTCTGTGGTCACTTAGTGATTACATACACTGGCTGAGGTAATTTATTCACTTTGTTTTGGTGTGAACATGTCCCTTGGGTCTTGTAACTGCTGTAATCACTTGACCTTAGGGACTGTTAAATGGTTTAAACACAGTTATTTTAAATTTATAATTGTTTTCATTAAAAATCTCTTATACTAACTTAACTAATTTTGCAGTAAACACTGCATTATGTGCTGAGGAAGAATTGAGATGTTATTCTGTGCCAAAGATATATTTTTACTGAATGTTTCAACTTACTATTATTACCTCTGTTCATATTTTTCCCATCCATTTTCATTCAGTCATATATGTGAAATGAAATAGAAGAATATCTAATTATAGCTCTGTCTTCACAGTGCAATATTTCCTTTTCTGGGTGATGGGAAATGATTGAATAACTCATAAGAACTGAAGAGAAAGCAAAGATAAATTCAGGCAGATAGATCTTTAATGAGTTGATATGTTTATTTTGCTCAGTAACTACGGGCCTGATTGTGCATATCCTTGCTTGTGTGTATAATTTGAATTCAGTCAAGAAATTTTTCTCAAATAGCCCATTTTGTATTTTTTTGTTTGGTGATTATATCATCACTAAACAAAACCTGTGTTCATTTTTTTGGTTCTGTTTTGTTTTTCCCCCCATGCAAGGTTTCTATTATAAATAGTAATAATTACTGCACAATCTTGAGGCAGTAGACTGGATAAATTCAGGTGACCTTACTTGTGGTTATTGTCTGTGGGCTGAAAGTTGAATTTAGCTAGGTTTTTCCTGACTTGTTCTAGGATTTAGCAACTTGACTGTTTCATGTTTTTTAAGTCTTGCTTTAGTTCTCAGTATTTATTTCTTTTAATTTCTTTGGGATAATGACTGTAAAAACTTTGTGAATGGTGTAGTGGCCAAATATGGGTTTGTACTGGAGCAAATATTTCTTTACCTGTAATATGTGCTTGCCTCTAGTGTAAACACTGTTGCTACAGCTAAAAAAAAAAAATCAGCTTTTTATTTCTGTGCTGTAGTTCCTTGATCATTTTAGTTGAAGTGAGAATGATCATGTAATTTTAATGCAGAGGTTTTCCTATTATGCTCTGCATATGTGGATGTGGTCCTCAGCAAAGTATTGTCAATTATTTTAGAGTTGATTTTTTGTGTGACTATCAGTAATTGAAAATAGCAGAATCTCCTTGGAATTGCTGGTTGTTACGTGGAATAGAAGACAAAATGTAAATGTGGTGTTGCTCTCAGAACTATGGACAGACACTTAGTTCCAGTCTACACTTCAATTTATGCATTAGGGCTGTGGAAATTTGAAATTATATTCAAAACTGTTAAGCCAGACACCTGCCAGAATGTGTTTGATATTGAAGATAGTGTAATTCAATTTGAAAAAAAAATAAAATAAAAATGAACTGTACCAGAATAGTATAACAGTAAGATCAAGCTCTTTTCTTATCACTGTTTAAAAATGCAGGGTCACATTCCACTTCTATCCTTTCTCAATCTCTCTGGTCTGGTTTAGTTATCTGGCTTCATCTCCTCTCCAGGCAAGGCTCATTTAGGGTTTAGAGTAAGTGTGTTCCTTTTACAAATGTACACTGAGAACAGTTTCAGTGTTATGAAGTGTTTGTTCTTGAGGGCTTTTGCTCTGTAAAAGTATATTTCTGATGTGAATTATTTTGGCATCAGACATCACACTATTTAAAAAAAAAAAACAAAAACCAGTAAGTTCTAAATTTCTTCAGCTTCAGAAGGGTATTAGCTCAAAGTATACTGGGGTAATTTAGAGCCAGAAGGAAGCTTGTGAATATTTTAAAGCTAAATTATGGCAATAAAAACAAATCTCTTCCTTTTTTATAAATTGATTTATTTCTGATTTGTGTTTTTACCATCTGGAGCATATTTTGAACTCTATATTGCTCTACTTGTTATAGCTAGAATGAATAATTGACTAAACATAAAATACCATTTTTGATGAACAAAACTCTGAGCACTTGAAAAAAAAAAAATTGCATTCATTGCAAGTGAAAGAAAATGCTGAGGTAGCTTTAATCCTGTGAGTATGTGTGAGTTTTGCACAGCTGTTCTGGGAGAGAGGGAAAAAGCACCCTGGAAAATGTATTAGTCCAGTTTTGGAAACAAGTCTGTCTTCTGTGATGGCCCTGGTGAGAAGTTTCCTCAGGCTTCAGACACTGGGGTGGGGTGGAAATATTTTGTTGAATAATTTTTGTTTAGAGGTTGAGCTGGTGCTGAGGACTTGTGGGTTTTTTACTGATTTTGTAAATTGATTTTAGTAAATTGATTTAGTTCTCGGGGTTATGTATCTCACTCTTGTCTTTTCCATAAAGTTTAAAAAAAACTTCTTCCTAGTTTATCTAGGGTTTATTGCCATATTACTACTTAAGAATATTTCCTTTTTTTTTTGTTCTAATTCGAGCTGTGTTTAATGTCATGGTTAAATTCCCATTTGTACTTTCCAATTCCCATATCACTTGCCTGAATTAATAATCGGTGCTCTGCTTTTATTTGCATATACCTTTTTATTATATATTATTGCTAATTTTTATCTTTGTTTTTTCTTCTCAGAGGAATACAGGAATAGTTTGAATGTTCCGTTTTATTATATTTATAAAGTAGTGGGAAAATACAACCACATGGATTTTTGGTAATGGCTCAATAATCTTTCTTGATGTAGCAGTCTATAGTGCAGTGTGAAAACAAAAGTAGGAAAAGGTACAAAATTCTCCTTTTGTGCCATGGATATTATTGCTGCTTCTTCGTATTTATCCTCTGCTCTGGGTCAGATATTAGATGCTTTGTGGGAAACAGAACCCCAGAAGTGTAACTTAGAAGGTAAAATAGAAGCAGTTGGATAAAATGAATGTTGAAGTAGTAAAATTTCCACTGACTAAAATGGAATTTATGCCTGAGGACCAGTATAAGATCATTCATATCTGATCAGTTCTTTTTTGTTCTGCTTTTGTTATTCCTGGCAATTCTTCATAGAGAGCTTTCACAAAAATCTATTTTTGCTATCTCCTAATGGTCTGTAGAGAGGAGAGTTTTTAAACAGTGTTTGCTACTAAAGTATAAAATTCTCTTTACGAATTGCCGTGGTCAGTCAAACCAAATATAAAGGTGTTATTTGACAGCCATTAGAAAACTTGGCTCAGGTGAAATGTGCTTTCAAAGAGAATAATGTTCTGGAGTGAGTGGCTCTTTGTAAGTTTAAACTAATATATTCATTTGGTAATTTTCAATGAAAGAAAGGAGCCAGTGAACACTGCAAAGTATTGCACAATTCTTGAATGGATTTTCAATCACAATAATTGCTTGGTCATTTCTTAGATCTGGGCTGCTAATGTTGCCTTAGGAGGGGGGAGGGGATGATCAGGTTTCTTATAACAAGCCATAACCAAACCAAATTTATAAAAACCCCAAATAATTCTTCCTTTCAATTCCCCCTTTCTCGCAAATCTGCTTTGAAACAGAAAAGAGATTTATGGTTGTTGTATTGACCAGGCCTAATGCCACTGAAACAGAAACTTTTATTGACATTTTCATCAGATTCTCCCTCCACTGTACTGCTGCCACAGCCAGATATTGTAATGAGAATGATTTCAGTGGAGAGCAGCCGAAGGATGAGTTCTTTGTACACCATCAGTTTATTTCTTCACTTGCAAATTTAATGGTACATCAAAAATACAAAGTGCAAAAATACTTCTCTCCTACATTTTCACACCGTGCACTCCATATTAGCAATAGCTAATTAAAATAAGTCTTTCTGTTAGTAGAGCATCACATTCCAGGCTGGAGAGAACAATGGTTTTGGGGTGGAGGAAGTTGCTTTGAGCAGAGAGGGGTTGGGGTTGAGGAGAAAGCACTGCAGATTTTAGTATAATGTGTAGTGTTCAAAGAAATTTTATTTCATCATAAAGATTAGCAGGCTGTGTAATTCAATTTAAAGCTGGTTGGCAGTGTTCTGTCTATTACAAAGCCTTTTTTTTTTTTTTTTTATTGCTACTATTTTTTTATGTTGTATGTGACTACAAAACCTAATAGACAGCAGGAACGATCTTTGGGTTTTGTACTTCCCACCCGCCCCTTTCTCTTTTCCATTCTGCGTGTTAGGAAATATGTGAGATTACCTTAAACTGAGCTACAAAACAGTCTGTCAGTGAAATACCATCCTGGCTTGTATAAAATAATAATAATTTTTTTTTTTTGTGGCCCAGCAGCCACTGAAAGTGAAAACCTGCTAAAAAAATGTTTGATCAAGTGGGTTGAATCAAGCTTAGAACTCAAATGTTAGCATTTATTCACACTGGTTGTGGATATTACTGCGCCATAGAAAAGCAACATGCAGCAATTTATGGTAATGCAAGACTGGCAGACCTTTATCTTACAGTAATTGCCTGTACTAGGGGGTTAATAAATGTTCCAAGAATTACTGACTTATTTTTTTTCTTAAAGAAAAACAGAGAGCTGATTATTGCTGGCTATAACCAGCCTGCGTAGATTGTTAATTAACCCGCTTCTTGCAGCGGGCTGAGGCTGAGTGTTTGGGCAAATCCTGCATCTGAACGGTGTCTTGGCACAAAAGGGCTGTGAAAGAAAGACCTGTGCAACTCCATGTCTCCCATCCACCCCTGCCAGGAGACCTTCAAAGCTAAATTGCCTCTATTTAGAGAGTATATTGTTTTTGGAGGGTGGGTGTTTATATTTGTGGGGTATCACTGGTGGGGAGGAAAAGGAGAAGAGAACCCCTTTCCCCAGAGGTAAAGGAACTTTTGTTTTCTTTGTCCTGGGCATGGCAGTGAATGATGGCACCTGCTCTGCAGCACAGGCAGCATCCTCAGCCCTGCTGTGGGTGTGCTGCCTCACCCTGCGACACCAGGCTGGGCTCAGCCTTGGGCTGGCTTGTGGTGGCCCTTCCACAGCTTTGGGAAGGGAGTTTCTCAGGGTTTGTGGTGGCTTTGAGGCTTAGGTCACTTCAGTGCCTCTGAGCTGTTCCAGGCTCTTTTCTCATCCCCAGCTGAGAGGTGACAGCCACCAAAGCCTCTCTGGCTGCTGATGGTGCCTTAAGTGGAGAAGGAGCAGAGCAGCACACCAGGGGACAGCAGTGTATGGACAGAGGCTGTGGAAAGCCAGCACAGGGGAGAGCAAAAGAACATCAAACTGGGGGTGGGAAGGAGAACTACAAAGAGCACAGGGATATAAAGTACTGGACCTGCTCTTTTTTACCTGCTTTTTCCAGAGCTTCGTCTCTTCTCTAGTTAATAAAATTAAGAAATGAGGGCTCAGGAACACTCTGCACTTTGAATTTCCTGTAATTTTAGTAAGTGAACCATAAAGACCTCTGAATTATGTGCATCTTTTCTAATGAACCAGATGCTTTCACATTACTGAGTATCAGTGCAGTAGCTCTTTTTCTCCTGAATGTAGCCATTACATGTTTTTGGTGTAACCAGCCAACACAAAGGGTTCTTAGTTTAAAACAGAGCTGCAAATGATAAAAAATTACCCACATGTCCTTACTTTTCCCCGAGCTGCTCTTCCCCATATGTTACTCTGAAGGCTCCCTGCTCCCTCAGCAGCACTTGGCATTTGCCTTCGCTACTGAGAGATGAGCAGAAAAGCTGTAAGGCAGACACAAAGTTTGCTGCAGCTTTGTGCAGGAGATGTCTCCTGAGCTTGGAATTTGCTGCTCCTTCTCTCCTCTGTCCCTGCTACAAGTTTCAGTGGTCGCTGGGAGCAAAATAATGCAGCTGTAGCCATACTTGTGGTCCTGAGAGTAAAGTAAAGGTCCTGAACTGATGTCCCCTCATAACCCCATGTGCAGTAATCCACAGTGCACAGAAATCCACTCCCCATTTGCTGTCTCCTTGCTGTAAATGACAGTCCTGTGCCATTAGCTGGAGCAGGAAAGGCAGGAGGGGATGCCCTGCTCTGCTGGGCACCCAGGCTGCAGGGGGACAGGGGAAGGAAGAGCCTCTGCCCTGGTGCTGGAAGGGGTCTGGCACCGGGCTGAGTTAGCAGAGTGTGTAGGGTTAGAGTGGAAGCAATACAGCTATTCATAAACAACTGCTTCCCCAAGACCAGCTGTCAAAACAATGATGCTTGCCTGCAAGGTGAGAGGGCAAAACCTTAGCAGAAAGGAGAGTAAATAAGGAATAAATTGTTACCTTTGTCTTAAGTGACTGAAATAGCTGCTCTCTGAATGCTTTGTCCTCATGGCTGGCTCTTATGAACTGTAGTTGTCGTGTTATTCAGCAAAACTTTGCATATCATGGCTTTTTACAGCAGGTTTCTCATCCCATTTTTTGTTTTAAAGGTTAGAAAAATGGGTAAGTCAAGAGAGACCCTACTCTGCAGAAGGCACACTAGGTGAAAAATTGCATGCTCCCACAATTAACCATAGCTTTCAATTACAGAGAAATATTTATTCGTGGAGCAGAATTCTCAGTGTCCTTCTCTGCACTGAAGAATCAGTACTGCATCATACAGATTTTCAAGCTTTTCACATTCATTTCAGTTTTCAGATTTTCCATGGAAAATGTTGCTGTAAATTCAAATGCACAACGATAAGTACAGTAGATATCACACACATTCATTTAACTTGATTTAAAACCATTTCACTCCTAGGTTAGTGGCTTAACAATTATCCTTGTTGAAGAGCAGAGATGGCAGCAGCAGAGGCCCTGTCTCCTTTTAACTGGGGCAGTAAAGATCAAGAGTTTTACCTGAATTCTGTCACAAATAAAAGCATGCAAACTATTGCAGAATGGAGTTTACATTACATATACACTGTTTTTCATTTTTCTGTTTTGTCCTGCCTTTGGAAGGACAATTAGGAGGTATTTCAGCATGTAACTTTCTGCAATGAAATTCAGAGATTTGGATTTTTTAAAAAAAAACTTCAGCATGAATTTGAACAGTCTGTTGTGAGGTCCTGGGATGCTCTAACATAAATTACAACCAATAAACTCTTGTAATTTAAATTCTGCAAATCCAGTAGAAAAGAGGAGGTGGCAAGAAACAGTAGCAGGGGTGAGGGAGAGAACTCAGAAATCAATGGTGCCAGTGTCTGTAGTTAACACTCTAAACCCTTCTCAGCCTTCAAGCTTCCTTCTCTCTCTCCTTTTAGTGTTAAGTGTTTGTCCCTGTGCTTAAACTCACAAGGAAGGGATCTGTATCCTCCTGCTCAGGGAATTCTGTATGGCCAGGAAAAAAACCTGCATAAGAGGAATTCAGTTCCTTGTAATAACATGATACAGCTGGAGTGATTTGGTTGTGTCTCTTAGTAGCTAAGAAACCTCTCTGTGAGCTGGGTTATTAAAAGGAATTTCCTTACAGGGCTCAGGAGATTCCTGGTATCCAAGTTCATCTTGAAAGACTATAATGGAATGTTTAGCTTTATTTAGAATAATGAATTTAAACACGGGGTTCAGAAAATAATGCTGGAGGTTCCTGAAGACCTGCCTGGATATTGCAGTTGACTGTAATTTCTGTTTGAATTCTCTGTGCACTTTCTCTTTGTGTTTTTACCTCCATAAACAGCTCAGAAAAGGATCATGGAGGTGGTTCTGGAGCACAGTACTATCCATGCTGTCACTTGGATATTGGACTCTAGAAGTGGAGTTCAGCTCAAGCTTTCTGCCCTTCCTGCTTAGAAAAGGAAGAGACAATTCCCAACAATCATCAGCACTGCCATGTGAAAATATGTTTAAAGCTACCTTTGAATATCAAACTTGCTTCTTATACTTTAATGTTTACAAATAAAAGCACAGGCCTTGATCACAGGGTAAAATCTCAAAAGCAGCTAATTGCTTTAGCACACTGGAGAATGTTACATTCTCAGAGTTATTAAAAAGCTGTCGTCCTGCTTTTAGGCAGTAGTTCATGCTTTTAAAGCCTTTGGGATATTTAAAAAACATTTTATCTTATTTCTTCTCTTTATTTTCCTTGTGATTATTCTTGCTAGGCCTGCTTTTATCTTTCCTCTTATCATTATGGATATTTAGCCACATAACACTGGTACTGATAGTTGGTTAATTATGAGCTCCAGTATGTTTTGTAGTTTACCAACAATATACTCAAAGATCATAATTTTAAAGGGAGGATTTCAGTTCCAGGTATAAAATCAAGAAGTTATATAGAATATAACGTATCATAGAAAGAAAACAGTTTTTAGAATCTTTTTGTTTGTGTATTTTGGGATTTTTTTCTTCATAAGAAATGCTCTGAACATCTTCCTGGGATGCAGAAAAAAGGAGATATTTGAAAGGATTTTTTTTAGAAGTACTGGCTCAGCTCTACCAGGCCACAGGACAGAGGAAGGTGATTTCCTACTGCTTTGTGCATTTGTAAGTCTCAGAGACTTTCTTCTAAAGATGAGAAAACAAATAATGGGAACTAGCTCAAAGATGTGGGAAACAGGAAAATGTTTTGGCAATTCTGTGTTTCCCTGGCTGGTGTATTTATTTGTTCATATTAAGATAGGTGGGTAGATACAGGGAGGATCCTGATAGGGGGGTGTGTTGGTCAGTCCTGTGGGCAGAAAAGGAAGTTCTGCTGCTTGTTTAAAGGTTTCTGTCAATAAGGTGGAAGAATTTGGGGCAGAATCTAGATCTAGGTCCTGCACTCATAATTCTCATTTCCTTCACGGAGTAGTGAAGAACTGATATCAAACCCTGTTTATCTTTTAAATAAAGATTTCACTTCTGGAAAATCTTGTCCTTAGCTTTCTCTGGCCTTTTGCAGTGTGAAAATCCATGTACATTAAAATACCAAGACATTGTCTGTGTAAATTATGATTAGCTTAATTACTTTCTGTATAATTGTTTCTCAAGATGACCTCCTTTTTGGTGGCACTTATTAATTTATTTTAGGGGAAAAAAAAAAAAAAAAACTTAATTGGAATTGTAGATTACAGAGATAAAGGGTATGTTATGGGAAATAGGTCCAGATCTGTTTCTGTCAGGCAGTGGAAGTTGGTTTTTTATATTCTTAAGATTCATGGAGTAAAAAGAATTTAGATTGATACAGTATGTGTGTGCACAAGGTAATATCAACAACCAATATATTATTTCAAAATCTGGTGAATTTCTTTATGGAGGATTAGGTTATATAGTGTGGGGGGCTCCAAAAAGAAAATAGAATTGTGTATTGATGCCTTTAGAAATATTATTTGAAGGCAATAAAATGTTCTCTGAAATTCCCTCCTGAGTGGAGAAAATGGAGTTTGTTTGCAGTAATTGCATTTTCTAGCATTTGCCTTCGCTCTTTCCAATATGAGTTAAGCCAATTGGAACCTGTGATTTTGTTTTGCTTATTGGCAAAAGTACCATGTAAATTGATCTGTGATGCATTTATAGAGAATGCTTTGAAAAATTTTGAAAGAGAGATGCCTTTCTCTTATTAGATTTAGATAGTATTAGGGTTCATTTTTATGTTTTAGCCTAATGTAATATTAACCAAAAATGTTTCTTTTGAATTAAGTCTAAATTAAGTCCAAGAAGGACATTTCTACTTAGCCCTACTGGCACTGTGAAGGCAGATCTTAAGTTCCTGCTCTCAGCCTTAGTATTTGAGTTTAAGGTGGCAGCCATTTGAAACCACATGATGTGCTGAAATTGGGCTAAAATTTGTCAGCCCTGCTACATTAAGATCTTGATTGCAAGAGGAAAATCTAAAGTTCTGTTGGACAAAACAGAATGTGTTTCTCTGTGTGTACAGTACACATACACTGCAGACCCTGAACTGCAGGGCATTGATGCATCTGCGTTACTCTAAATATTGGGGAATTCTGTTTAGGAAGTCAGCTCTGCCAGACTTTCTCACCTGAAAAATCTCTTTAAATTTTCAAAGTGGGCACTGTTTCCCTTAAAGGATCCCTGAGAAGGGGCACACAGCACCAGCACAGACCTGCAAGTCCTTTAGGTATTTTACTATGGGAAAGGGGAGGAACAGGAACTCCTATTAATGCGAGAAGCACTTGTGAAAATGAAAAGGGACAGACAAGGCTATTGTGATTTCCAGGTAGGGTGTCTCAGAATTCGCTGAAGTTGAGGAGAAATTTAACAGCTGCCAGCTCCTTTGATTTTAAGTTACGTGATTTTGTAATTATTTTTTTTTTCTCTTGAAAGCTCTATCTTTTAGGTTGCATAATTAAAAGCCTGAAAAGAAAGCCTTTCCAGGGACTAGCAAGCAATCTGTGCTGCTTGCGTTTCAGATTTCATGATTTTAAAGTCAATTTGGGGAGACTTTTTACACCTAAAGTTGGCAGTGCTGTGAGCTGCAAATCTGGAGGCTTTCCCTTTTTTTTTTAAATTTTTGCTTTTGAGGTTAGACTGAACAAAAACTTCATATTCTGTTTCAAAACAAAGACATGTCATATATTGATTGCTAAAACTTAAGTGCAGATTTTTATGTTTCAAAAACAATACAGGTATTCAGCAGACAGGAGGAAGATATTAATCACAAACACTTACATTAGAATAATGTTATGGTTGAGACATAAAAACATAAAAGCAAGGAATCGTTACCAGCGCCGGAGCGCGGTTAAACCGGACCTGTAGTCGAGAAGGTTCTGCGGTGCGCCCGGCCCTGTTGCAGGCCTCGTGCTGCACATGGGGATTTTTCGGCCTGGTGTTGTGCAAAATTCACTGCATTTACTCGTGGAAGAGAGGAAATACTTGGTATTAGGCAGCACTAATGCTGCAGCATCGGGCACCTGTGTGGCGGAGCCGTGGTCCCTGGAAAGGGCCGCGTGTCCCGAGCGGCGCCGCTCGGCCGAGTTCCAGGCGCTGAGGCGAGATTCACTCGGTGCTTCCTTGCTTTCATGGGTTTATCGCTCAACCTCGGCATTATTGTAACGTAGTTTTTTGTGTTTAATGTTTCTTAGACTTGGTTTTCCATTGCCAGCATGGAAGAAATCCTAATGCATGAGTTTCAGAGGAGAAGGTAGCAGACTCTGAACCTGCTGTGTGGCTCGATCCGCAAGTGTGAGTATTAACGCTAGAGCTGTCAGGCCTTGTGAAAATTAATGAAGCCTGACGGTTACAGAGGGAAAGGTCAGAGGCAGAGCTTGCACTTACCTAACATTTCTGTTTTGTTGTGTCTAACAGTGTTTTCAACAAAGGGGAGCTTTAATGTACAAGCTTTGGATTTATCACAGGAATTCAAGGGTCTCAGCCTTTGCTTCTCCCTGTGCTGTGGTCTGATGTTTTCTCTGCATAAAAGCAAAACAGTTACATTTTCATTCATCCTCTCCTTGCTGTGTTGCCCATGTGTGTTTTGCCTTTGTTTATTTCTTCTCCAAAACTGAGGGGAAGGAAAAAAAAAAAAAAGAAGAAGAGAGTCATCTGAACTGATGGTGGAATACTTTTCATTGGGAAGATTCCGAGAGATCTTGTACTTCAGCTCTTTGTACTGTTTTAGTAGCATGCTCTGGTTTTGTGCATGTTCTGTTTCTTATTTGCTGCTCGTTTTGTTTTGTTTTAATTGTTTCATTGTGTAGATTTCTGCAGACACAGGGGGCTAAACTGCACAGAAGTACACGGGCTATGTTTTCAGCCAGTGTGTTGGTTGATACCAGTTTGAGCTGTTCCATTGAGCACATTTATGAAGGCTGGCTTGGTTAAAACAGTCAAAATAATTTCATAGTTAGTCGGTCAGTCTCATCTTAGAAAAGATGTTTTTCTTAGCCACTTTTGGATCTGGTAGCTGAAGTGGGTTGTTGGTGGGATAGGTCCAGCTTATCCTATGGAAGCTTGAGTCTGTGTAACTATTTCTGCAGTCTAACTTACTGCTGCTGAAGGAGAAACAGCAGCCTTTGAGATATTCTGTCTTTGTTTTTAAAAAGCAGAAAGGAGCCTCTGTGTGTTGTGACTGTGCTATAAATGCTGGGAAGGGAGAGTGACCATGCCTTGTGGTGCTGAGGGCTTTCCATGAGAAATGTTTCTAGGGAGAGTTGCAGAGCTGCTGACCAGTGGTGGGCTGTGCTGGCTGCTCTCAATAACTGCAGCTCTGGGGACTGGAAGTCTTTAGGAGCAAACCAAAATCTGCTCCTTCCATGTTATAACCCTGGAATTGTATGGGGTTGGTTATAGGGAAATGCTCCATGACCAGTTTTGCACTTTTGGGGCATATACAATATACCATAAATTTGAGATTATTCACTTGCAGGCACATCTCTTGTACAGTTTTCCCTCTTTTAGAGGGGACTAAGATTTATACTTCAAGGCTTCTCAGCCTATTTCTCAGCATATGGCCAGAGGGTTTATGAGGCTATGAAGCAGGCATGAAAAAAAGCTTCATGTTTCATGGGAGTGTTGTGTGATTAGTTAATGCATGCGTATGCATATTCAGAGCTTCGCATCAGAAGCACTTGCATATCATTTATGTGTAAATACAGGTTTCTTCCACTATATAGACAGCTAGTATCACATTATTTCTTACTCCCCTACTTCCCTGTGAGGTTTGCAGGTAACAGTAGTCAAAAAATAATGTGATTTTCTATTTTTATAGGGACTCAGCAGTTAACATTCACTGCCAGGCACACTCCTTTTCATGTCTGGCAGTTCTACAGAACTTGGGTTGTGTGACTAAACTGCACTCATGAAGCATGCTATTAAAATGGGAATGGTTGTTCCCCAGATGAAGGCTTCCTAGGAGCCAAGTGCTTAAGGTGAACTTAAAGAAAGCCACTGAAACAACTATTTACGTAGGTTAAAAAACCCCCACAACCCCCTGGCTCCCAAGCTTCCCCCCTTGTCCCATGTGGTAGATATATTTAAAGTCAGTCTGTTGTTCAGCTGGCACTTTGGAGTGGTTTAAGTGGTTGCAGCCAGCAATAGAAGTTCTGCCTTAGCAGCATTCACAGACCCCCCCCACTCCTTTTTTGCTACATCAGTTTTCACCTGGATCAGTGCCCTGATCCACTCTGCTCCGTGCCCACCAAATCCTTGCGTTGGCAGGAAGGTGTCGTGGCACAGGGGTAAAGGTGAAACACTGGGGGAAAAAGGTAATTGGAGCTTGAGGGTTGACTTGTTAGACCAAAAGTCACAGAAATTGTCTGAGACTCCCAGATTAATGCATTTACTGTAAACAATTCCATTTTTACAAGTCATTCAGCGATAACCATTGTTGCCTTTATCTGAGCAAAAGCGGTGTTGACCTTTTGGCTTCCAGAACAGAACAACTTGTCTAATTGCAGTATTTTCTTGATCAGTGATTACATTGTGCCCTTGCTTGAGAGCAGACGTTGAAAAACGTGTTAACCAAAATAATAGATATACTTTAAAGATACGCATATGCACACCCTGTGTTTCTGTGTGTATATATACACATAAATATGGGTTTCAAATACTCCAGTATAAGTGACTCTGCTTCACAGACCCAGTGCCCTGGTAGTTCTTGGTAGTTGTAATTTTAGCCTTTTGATCTCACCTGTTAAGCATTTAAGCATTTAAAATAAACTTAGTTATTATGCTGGGAGTTAATAATTGGGGTTTCTGAAGTGCTCGGCCCAGCAAACAGATCACACTTTTTCTAGTGTGGAAAAGGATTCTTCTAATTGTTTTCCAGAATGATGTTACTGATGCATAATGGAAGATTTGATAGCTAGGAAATCAGACTAATAAAGGCCAAAACAAAAATTTAGTGAAGGAAAATGAGGATAAGCCTTTCAACCTGTGTGTTGCACTGATGCAGACACACATAGATTAATCTGGTCAAGATAAAACTAAATTACCGTGGAGTAGGAGATTTTTGAAGATGACTGTTTATGTTTCCATATTAAACATAAGGTCTACAGATTATAGACAAGGGGCAGGTTTGCCAAAAGAAAGCACACCAAAATATTTCAGAAATGGTATCAGAGAGAGTGGATGTTGTGCAATGCCACAGGGCCTTTCGAGAAGGAAAAACCAGACCGTGATGAATAAATAGCTGATCTGATTGCAGGTAATTATTACTGTGATTAGTGCTAGACAGTCTTTCCTCAGGGAAGAGAGAAGAATTGAATGAGACCTCCTCTTGCTGCTGCCCTGGCTTCTGATGTGTTTGCCTTTTTAGGGGTGGTGCTGCTCATGGCAAGCTCCTGGGCCAGCACCAGAGAGCAAGAACAAAAAGGTGATGACCAGGGGGCCCTGGGTGGGGAGCAAGGCCAGGCCTTGGTGCCCTTCCTGTGGCAGATATTGCAGTAAGCACAAACACAGAGTGCAGGATTTCTGGTCTGGCTGCTGGAGGAGGGGGAGCCTGGCTTGGTGGCTGTCACACCCACGGCCAGCGCTGGTTCCTCCCCAGCTCCCAGGCACTGGGGTGCAGAACCACTGAGCCAGAGCTCAAGGGTGGGTGCTGATAAACTTGGATCCCTTGGTGGGGGGCTCTTCTCCAGGGTCTGTCTTGCCTCATTCCTTGAGGCAATTCCTAAATTCCTATTTATTCATCACATCCTGGTGTTGGTCCTTAGTTTTTGTTGGTGGGGCCGTGTCCTGGGCTCCCTGGCAGCAGTGGAGAGAGGCTGTTCCCTGCCAGTGCCTCCTCTCAAGAAATGAACAAGTGGAGCATCTCCTTAATCCTAAAAATACAAACAGCTGTCTTCACACCAATTGCAAAAAATACTGTCTGGGTTTCCCCTAGAGATGTCTGTGTCAGGTTCCTATATAACATGTATAATGTTACTTTTATATATTTTAACAGTTGCTGATGTCACCATTAGTTTGCCTTTACACGTCCTGTGTGTCTTCAAAGTAAACCCTGATTTTTAAAATGTCAAGGTAAAAAAATACTGAGCAAAATGCTCCAGGCTTAATTGGGAATAATATCAGCAAAACGTGCTGGTTCTCAAGTCTATCAAAATAAATGGAAGTGTGAGGCTTGGACATGTATCAAGCAAGATGAAGAGTTTTCTGTGTTAAAACAGGCAAATGTTGATAACTTAGCAGAAACCTGAATTTAAATTCTCCATCCTACTTCTCTGAGAATATTATCACACCTAGCTTGTTTTGGGGGATTGATGGTTTTGACAAGTGTATCAAATTTCATGCTGGTGGTATCTTTTATGTTTCCTGCAAGAAGAAAAAAATTGCAATTTTATCTTGTGGCCAGGAGTCACAGAGAGTGGGAATTGTAGGTATACACAGAGTTTTTAAATTAAAATGAAAATGAATTGCAGCATGCAGCAGGGATGGTGAAGGGGAGGAAAGTGGGAAAGGAGTGAGTCAAAAACTGTAGAGGAGCATTTATTGCATCTCCCCAACTTTTATCTAATGTAGCACCACAGACTTATGCATATGTACAAGCTGTAGTTTGTTCAGATGTGAGGTGTCTATGAAAAACATCGTCTGCTTGGTTTTTTCAAGGGATTTGTAGCTTTTTGGTTTTCTATCCAGAATTAACTAACTTTGCAAAGATGATGTTTGCACACATACCTTGTGTAATTCCTGTTTCTGTGCTGTAAATATTGAGAAGCAGAAAGTTTTGACTAATTCCCCTGTAAGTCTTACGTAGGGAAAAAGTTAATCTTGTTATATATCCTTACAGCTTTACTGTGAAACTCACTTTAAAAAAAGAGCCCAAACCCAAACAGATTCAAAAGTTAAAAGACAAGTTTTAAACTAGCAAAGCTGCTTCTGTTTAGAACTGTACTCACAAGAAATGTGTGACTTCTGATTCTGTCTTCCCTGGGACAGATGTTGCGAGTTCCAGAGCTAGATGACGAACCCACAGATTTCTACATACATTTTGCTGCCTCTATGAAAAAAACCAAACTGCACAAAAATCCCCATAACAAACTCAACCATTTCTGAATAATTAATAGTAATAAACACCAAAATGAAGGGTAAGATATGAGACTAAGAAATCAGGCTTATTGTGAAGGCAGTAGCAGTTAGC